TTGCTCTCTGAGAAACCTCGGCAGACTCGCTGGTGCGCAACTTCCCACAGATGGGTGGGGGTAACTGCTCAGGAACCCCAACCTCTCTATGACAGGGATTTTTAACTTTATTTATTTATTTATTTAGAGTTGTGTGTGTGTGTGTGTTTGCTATAGGGTGCATGTGCTTGCAGGAGAGAGAGACAGAAAGTGAGAACTCATCCCTGGGGCAGACGCCCACGCCACAATCCCTTCTCCTCCATTCTCCTCTTGGGATTTTGGGCACACGTGCACATGCTTCTGGCTTGAGTTTCAAGCCGCTGGTTCTGGGACTTGAACCACAGCTGGCCATGTGGGAGCCCAGAGACATAATTATCATGCCATCTGCTGGTCCCCTTAATTTTATTTTAACAGCTGGAAACTTTATTCAAGTAAGAGAGTGAGGGAAAGTGAGAAATCACCCCCTCCAGGGGTGGCCAAACCCCAACCCCTTTTCCATTCTCTTCTTGGGATACAAAGAACAGACACACACACATACACACACACACACACACACACGTGTCTGGTGTGACCTTGAAGCCACTGGGTCCGTGACTCAAACTGTGGTAGGCCATGGGGGAGTCCAGTGCCTTAACTGCCACCTGCTGGCCCCAGAAGGATATATATTTTTTTTTTTTTAAGAATTACTTTATTTAGGGGCCAGCAGTTAGCGTAATGGCTATGTCGCTGGACTCCCATGTAGTTGACCGTGGTTTGAGTCCCGGACCCGGCAGCTTAAACTCATGCCAGCTGTGTGTGCGTGCGTGCCCAAGATCCCGAGAGGAGAATGGAGGAGAAGGGATTGTGGCGTGGTCATTCCCCCTGGGGGGTGATTTTTCGCTTTCTGTCTCTCTCAGTCTTTCTGGCAAGTACACACGCCCTATAGCAAAAACATCTAAAAAAAAAAACCCAAAGAATTATTTTATTTAACTTTATTTTATTTTAATTTGACCAGAGAGGGTTCGGGACCCGGTGGCTTAAAACTCACGCTGGGCGCGTGTGCGTGCGTGCCCAAGATCCCAAGAGGAGAATGGAGGAGAAGGGATTGCGGCATGGCCATCCCCCCTGGGGGGTGATTTCTCGCTTTCTATCTCTCTGTCTCTCTCTGTCTGTCTGGCAAGCACACGCGCCCTATGGTAAAAACCTCTCGAAAAAAAAAGCAAGCTGCCAGGTCTGGGACCATGTGGGAGTTCAGCACCCTTAACCACCATGCCACCTGCCATTCCCCTTAGCAGGATTTTTAAGACAGATAAAAGGACTTCTGTGAAATGTCGTCTGTCCATTCAACCAGAGTATTATTCAGCCACAAAAAGGGCCGAAGCACTGGCACGTGGCACAGTTCCGCCGGGCCTCGCACTCAGCACTAAGTCTAAGAAGGCCACAGCGGCCACAATGGGGTCGGACAGTGGTGCGGTAAGACACGGGTCTCTTCAAGGCTATCCCGCTGGAAGGTTCCTGTTCAAGTCTGGGGACCTCCCTGAGTGCACTGAGCTCCCACGTGCCCCGGATCCCAGGCTGGCTGAGGGCTGGGCATGGATCACGGCATTAAGACCCTCTTGACATTCCGTCTCTTTTTCTCTCTAGCTCAGGGAAGAAATAAACCAATAAACTGAAAAAGGAAAGGCCATATATTGTTTGGTTCCATTTATGTGAAACACCCCAAGGGCCAGCCCTGTGACCTAGTGGTTAAGGGAGCCAGATCCCACATGGCCAACTGCAGTCCTAATACCAACCTCAGCAGCTTGGAATGCACCAGGCCTGTGTGCACACCTGCCCTAAACCCATCAGGGTGGAGAAATGGAAGATGAGGGATTGTAATACAACCGCACCCCATTAGAGGTGCTCTCCCTACCCCCCAATCTCTCTCCGATGTGCACATGTGCCCTCTGGCAATTTAAAACAGTAATTTAAAAACAGAAATGGGGCTGACAGGTGGCGTGGTGGCTAAGGACACTGGACTCCCACATGGCCAACTGTGGTTCGAGTCCCAGACCTGGTAGCTTGCTTTCTTGCATTCTCTGTCTCCCTCCCCTCCCCATCCCTCTCTGGTCAAATGTGAATAAATAAATAAAGTTAAAATAAAAATAATTCAGGGGACTAAGTGGTTACCAGGGACGGGGGAGGCCGGGAGACTGAGGGGGGCTGACAGCTCGATGGCTCAGGGTTTCCTTTGGGGGAGATGCAGATGTCCTGGTATTAAACAGCAGTGAGGCTCCAACCATCGTGAATGTGCTACTTGCTGCGGAGTCGGTAAGTTTTACATCGTCGTGTGTGTTGACCATGATGAAAAGAAAATCAGAGAAAAAGGGAGGGTGGCTCCGAGGTCAGCCTTGGGGTGCAAATCCTGCTCTGACACTCCTTATCTCTGTGGGGACAAGCAAGGGCCTTGCCTTCTCGAGCCACGGATTCCTGGCGTGGGGATGACTGAGTTCCTGTCTCCCAGGGCTGCTCTGCGGTGCAGTGAGCTGAACGTCGTGTCTGCGGCAAAGCCATCTTGGTAACCAGCAAGGACGGGGACCTTGGCAGCCCGTCCTGAGCTTTGCCTGGGCTCAGAGGGGCCCAAGGAGTCTTTGGGGGAAGGTGTCTGTCTGGGCCAAGATGGATTTATTCTCAGCCCCATCCTCCTCCTCCAGCTCCTGCTTGGGCCTTTCTCCCAGAGTCACCTGCCGGGGACCCAACAATGGCAGTAAGGACCCTGACAGCTGAGGGCCAGGTCAGTGCAGGCCTCCCTCTTCCTCAGATGACTCTCTGGGCTCTGGCGGATCCACGCCTGCCAGTCCTGGGAGGGGGCTGCTAGGAGGGGCAGCCTGGGGCCCAGGCCGGGCAGGAGGTGGGCACTGGCCACAGCCTGGACCATGGTCCTCTAACACTCAGCAGCCTTCTGTTAGCAGACAAGGGGCACACCGGGTGGGTTTCCCTCCTCCCTGGCCTTAGCTGGGAGCAGAACTGGGGTCTGGGGCAGAGTGGGGTCTGGGATTATCTCCTGCACACAATGTTTTTTTTTTTTTTTTAAGAATTATTTATTATCATTATTTTTGGATTGTGTCCAGAGAGAGACAGAGAGAGCAAGCTGCCAGGTCCAGGACTCGAACTGCAGTCAGCCATGTGGGAGCCCAGCACTCTTAACTTCCATGCCACCTGCTGGCTCCCAATAAGCCTGTTTTTTAGGTATAATTGGGGGCGTGGGCAGGTGATGGCCCAGTGGTGGCACGTCTGGACTCACATGAGAGAAGTCCTGCGTGTGCCTTCCTGGACCCCTCGCTCTTCCAGGTGTGCATGTGATGGCAGCCTGCCAGCTGTGATGGGGTGCTCAGGGATGAGGACTCTGCCTCTCTCTGTCTCTCTCATGGAAGAAATAAGTAAATAACTTTAAATACTTAACATACAGGGTTGACTCCATAGCCTGGTGGCTAAGGCAGCCATATTTCACATGGCTGAGTCTGCAGTTCAAATCCCAGACCCAGTGGCTTGAGAAACCCTCTGGGCCCGTGTGCATGTGTACCCAAAGTCCCCAAAGGAGGGAGATATGGAGAAGGGATCTCAGGGTGACCATTCCCCATGGAGGATGGGGATGCTTTCTCCTCGCTCTTTCTCTTTCTCTCTCTCTGTTGATAACACGTACCCTCCAACAAAAAAATACTTTAAGTATAAGGGCACCTGATCACAGGGGCGGGATCCCCGTCTTACACCTCATTCCCTAGTATATTTATCTGACCGTTTTCAGACACCTGGCAGTACAATAATTGGTGTATTATACCGACTTTCCAGCAGATGGCAGTAAAGAGCCGTGTGGAAAGGACGCCTTGCTCATCCAATGAGGTGCCTGAGGGCTAGTGGCTCCCCCAGATGTTTTCCTAGGCTCCCCCAGATGTTTTCCTTTCTAGGCGGGGTGGGAGGGGACTGTTCTGATTTAGTCCTCACAAATCTGCAGTCAGAAGGTGACCCAGAGGCAGTCTTGGGCTGTTGACTCATGTTTCTCCCATCTCAGAGTTCTGGAAGGATGCTCCCCTCCACCGTGTAAAATTGGCCATTGCAGGAATCAGTGACCTTCAAGGACGTGGCTGTGGACTTCAGCCAGGAGGAGTGGGGCCGTCTGGGGCCTGGCCAGAGGGAGCTGTACTGGGACATGATGTTGGAGAACTACCGGAACCTTCTCTCACTGGGTGAGGCCCCACCCCCAGCCTGCCCCAGGTAGCAGGATGATGACCCCTTTATGCCAACCCCCTGCTTAACTGTGGGCCCTCCCTAGAGCGTGGGGGACTCTCTTTCTACCTCACTGGTCCCTCAGGCCTGGCTTCTCCTTCATTCTTTCTGCCAGCTGGCCTAGATTCCCAGCATCCTGGAGGGCCCCTTGGCTTTGGCCAGTCCTAGAAAATGTGGGTCCCACAAGATGTTCTGCCTGAGTCCTGCCCCCTCTCATGCGTCCCTCACCATGAGCTTCCCAGGTGGACACTTCACATGTGCTGTCACACTCCGAGGCCATAGGAGGGGGTGGGGCCCTCGGGGAGGAGTCTAGGAGCCACCCTGGACTATGACTGTGCCCGGGGCTACTTCCCCCTGCAGATTTAGGGGGACCACAGACCCCGAGTCTCAGTCAGCCTCGCCAGGCTCAGTCTGCCTCAGGAACATGAGGCACTGAAGGATGAGTCTCACACTTACCATTGGAACTTCTTTTTTTTTTTTTTAGAATTATTTTATTTAAATGTATGTATGTATGTATGTATGTATGTACATTTAACCAGAGGGACAGAGAGAGAAGGAAAGTGAGAAAGGAAGCCCCCAGGTCTAGGACTTGAACCATGGTCCCATGTGGGAGTCCAGCATCCTTAACCACCACGCCACCTGCCAGCCCTTATCATTGGAACCTCTTTATTTCTTGGAAAGGTTTTTGCTATAGGGCACATGTGCTCACCAGAAAGACAGAGAGAGATAGAGAGATAGAAAGTGAGAAATCACCCCCCCCCCAGTAGGGATGGCCACGCTGCAATCCCTTCTCCTCCATTCTCCTCTCAGTACCTTGGGCACACACGCACGCGCGCCCAGCGTGAGTTTAAGCCACCAAGTCTGGGACTTGAACCATGTTCGGCTATATGGGAATTCAGTGACACAGCCATTATGCCAGCTCCTGGTCCCTATCATTGGAACTTCTAATCATTAGGTGTGTGGTGTATGCATCTCCCTGCAGACCCAAGGCCTGGGACCCAGCTTTGAGGCCTCCCTGTGATTCAGTCACCCACAGCAACTATTTTCCCAGGGGCAGACTTTCCTGGGTCCAAACCCGAGGTAATCTCCCGTCTGGAGCGAGGAGAAGAGCCAAGGATGGTGGAGGGAGAAGCCCAGCGAGTTATCTGTCCAGGTGGGTGAGGGTGTCCAGCGGTTCTGAAATCTCTTCCTTCCCTGTCTGTTGTGGTCACTGAGGCTCGTTCGAGAATGAGCCAGTATAACTGATGGCGATGATGTGAGCTCTGGAGCTGAGCTGCCTGGGATCCCCTTGGGCGAACCACTTAGCCTCCCCGTACCCCGACTTTCTCATCTGTAAAACGGGGACAACAGCACGCGGGGTCGGAGGGATGAGTGCGTTAGCAGGTGTGGAGTCGAGTCCCCGCAGGAACCCCTCAGCGGTGGCTTTCCTGGTTATCATGATTTATTGGGAGTGGCCTGTGTAAAGACCCAGACGTGATCTTACACACTGGGGGAGCAGGAAGAACCCAGATTGGGACCTCCTTCTGGTCTTCTGATTCCATCAGAGAAGGGGACTGAAGCATCTTTATTTCTGTCACCATCTACCTGTGGGCCAGACCTCCCATTCCTTTCCACTCACCGTGGCCCATAGTGTTCAGCCCTGCCCTTCCTGCCTCCTGACTGAAGCGTCAGCCTCTCCCCCCGGACTCACTTCAGCCTCCTCCCTGGCCCCCTGGCCACCCGCCCGGCCCTTTCTAGGCCATCTCATACACAGCTCCAGAGGGGTCTTTTTATACGGAGAGGCAACCCCATCCAGCCCCGCTCAGAGCCTTCCTGTGGCTCCCCATTGCACCCAAGATGACCTCCCAGGCCCTCAGCCTGGAACGTGAGGCCCTGAATGGTCCAGCCAAGCTGCCTCTGGCCTCCCTCTCATCACTATCTGCTTCTGGGGGTACCCCTCCACCCTGACTTCACTGAAGCACCTGTCCCTTCTGAACCTGAATGTGTGTTCCCAGCCTTGGGCCTTCACACATGCCGTTCCTCTGCCTGGAGCACCCTTCCCTGCCTTGCCTTCCTAAAGAGCACTTCATTCCTCTAGATGAAGCTGACAGGACCCCTGCCAGGAAGCCAGCTGTGACTTCTCCGGTGCTGTTTCTCAGTGTTTCTCACAGCTCCTGGCTTGCGAGCGTGTCACTGCACCTGTGCATGTTGTGGTTAGGGTATGGGCTCTGAGCTCAAATCCCCGTTCTGCCACTGACTGCCTGTGTGACGGGCAAGTGCTGGCAGCCTCGGACATCTTGACCCATGGTCCTGAGCATATGGAAAAGCGTGATTTCATTATTTTAAAAAGTTTCTTTCTTTTCTCCACAAGTGAAAGAGATAGATAGCAAAAGAGAGAGACAGAGACAGAGAGGCAGCACCCACAAAGGGTCCTAACGCCCCATCCACCCCAGCCCCAGCCAGCCCCGCCATGGCTCTGCTTGCCCAGTGCACGCAGGGAGAGCTCCAGCTGCAGACCTGGAACTTCGCAAGTGGGATGCCTCGCCCTCACAGTGTTGTGTTTCAGCACTGGGCCACTATCCTTCATCTAGGAACACAATTTTGAAACTTTGTTTAGGTTATGTTGCAAGTTCCACATCATCTGCTTCCTTCATCTGGAACAAATAGTATCCATATTTTCCATTTCTTTCAGACTTGGAGATGAAGTCTGTGACTACTCAGAAAACACATCCAAAAAAGAGCATTTCTGTAGAGTCAGCTTCCCCAGTGGAGGGGATTGTAAGGGCTGTGCTTGGAGACGTCAAGCTCGGAGAACCCTGGGCACGTTGCCATGCACTGGATGACCGAGAAAGGAAGGCGCGGCAATTGAGGTGTTTATTTACCACTCCTAAGGGAGCCACCTCTGAGGAGAGAGGCCTCGGGTGCAGTGAGCTTGGGAGAACGGACGCCCATCCTCCTCAGGAAGCCAAGAGTGCCTGGTGGAGAGAGGGCTCAGAAATGGCGCCGGCCCTGGAAGGGGGTGAAATGCCAGAGGCCCTTCATGGAGAAGAAAGCACTGAACTGCAGAGTGTGGGAAGGCCTTCACCTACCACTCACACTGCACCCTGCACCAGCGAGCTCACCCCGGGGAGAAGCCCTCCAAGTGCAGCGACTGCGGGAAGGCGTTCAGCAGCAGCTCGTACTTCACTCAGCACATCATCCACACCGGGGAGGAGCCCTACGCCTGCCCCGCGTGCGGCAAGACGTGCACGCAGAGCTCCTCGCTGACAGCACCAGCGGATCCACACCGGGGAGAAGCCCTACAGATGCCAGGAGTGCGGGAAAGCCTTCACGCAGAGCTCACCCCTCGTCAAACACCAGCGATGCCACACCGGCGAGAAGCCCTATAAATGCGACCAGTGCGGGAAGTTCTACTCGCAGATCTCCCACCTCACCCGCCACCGCAAAATCCACACGGGCGAGAAGCCCTACACATGCAGCGAGTGTGGCAAGGCCTTCTGCCACAGCTCCTCCCTGGTCCAGCACCTGACCATCCACACCGGGGAGAAACCCTACAAATGCAACGAGCGCGGGAAGACCTTCAGCCGCAGCTCGTCCCTGACTCAGCACCAGCGCGTCCACACTGGAGAGAAGCCCTGCGAGTGCCACGAGTGTGGCAAGGCTTACACGCAGATCTCCCACCTCATGAGGCACCAGAGCATTCACGTGGGGGAGAAGCCCTACATACGCCCCGAGTGCGGGAAGGCTTTCAGCCACACCTCATCGTTTTCCCAACACCGGACCATCTGCACCGGGAGAAGCCCTACAGATGTGCCGAGTGTGGGAAAACCTTCAGCCAGAACTCTTCCCTCACACGCCGCCAGCGGATTCACAGCGGGGAGAAGCCCCATGGGTGTAAGGTCTGTGGGAAGGCCTATACCCAGATCTCCCACCTCATCCAGCACCAGCGGGTCCACACTGGTGAGAAACCTTATGTGTGCAGCGAGTGTGGGAGAGCCTTCAGCCGGAGCACCCACCTCATCGAGCATCAGAAGATCCACACGGGCGAGGGACCTTACGGGTGCCAGGAGTGTGGGAAAACTTCAGTCACAGCTCCTCCCTGACAGCATCAGCGACTTCACACTGGAGAGAAGCCCTGTGCCTGTCAGGAGTGCGGAAAGGCCTTCAGTCAGAGCATGCACTTGATTCAGCACCGAAGGCTTCACACGGGTCGGGACTGTGGGGAAACCTGCTCCCAGCCTCACCCCTTCTCCAACATCAGAAAGCCCACGCTGGCGGCAAACGCTCTGCGTGCCAAGAATGTGGGGAGGGCTTCAGCCAGAGTTCACGACTTCGAGAACGCTTGTCCTGGGAGCACGCAGCCTGCTGATCATCTCAGAAGTTGCACTGACGAGCCGGCTGAGCTGTAGTGAACTGGCAGCGGCACTATTAAGTTCCTAGGTTCAACACTGGGGACCCATGGAAAAACTGACTTCGGGAACAGACGGATCCAGGTGCTTAAAAGACCCTTCAGCAATCTGTTCTTCATCGATAGTAGGAACCCTCCCCACAGAGAGGAAAGCTAACATCATATATTGAGATGTTTATTTCCTAGAGGGATGACGGCATTGTTTATCATCACCTGGGACAGCTTCTCATCATTTTAGGGACTGCCCCCTTGAGTCCCCTCAACTCTGCAATGTCTCCAGACGGTAATATAGTTAGGAGGTAATCTAAATGGGATGCCATTTTATCTGGGATCTTTAATAATAACAGCTCTCTCTCTAAGCTTTATTTATTTTTTAAAAGATATTCTTGTTATAGAATGCATGCACTCACTGGAGAGACAGAGACAGACAGAAATCACCCCCTGGCCACACTGCAATCCTTTCTCCTCCATTCTCCTCTCCAGATTTTGGGCACACAACGCACACTAACCCAGTGTGAGTTTTAAGCCACTAGGTCTGGAACTCAAACCATGGTTGACTACATGAGAGTCCAGCAATGTAACCATTACGTCATCTGCTGATCCTTCTCTCTGAGCTTTTTATTATTATTTTATTTTATTTTTTAAAAAGAATTATTTAATTATATTTGTTGTTGTTGTTGTTGTTGTTGTTATTTTAATTTGACCAGAGAGAGAAAGGGAAAGCGAGAAAGCAAGCTACCAGGTCTGGAACCAACTGCAGTTGACAATGTGGGAATCCAGCGCCCCTATCTACCATGCCACTTGCTGTCCCCTGAGCTTTTTAAATAGATTGGTCTTTCCTTAAATTGGATCCTGGATATTTAAGGAAGAAGCACAGCTGTCAAGATGAACGCTTTAGAGTAAAATTCTCAAATATATGTAGTTAAACATAATGCTAGACAATTTTAGTTTCCTTTAAATCTTTAAGCTACAAATTTCACAATCCACAGATGACTTAAACAATAAGTATGGCTCACATATTTACAGACATTTTTAATGTCTTGTTGTTTCTGCTACATTTCCAGGATTTATGCCTTACAAAGGTATTACCCTATTAAGCATCAGGTTTACTCATGACCCGAGGGAAATTTTCTGTCATATTTTTTAAACATATTATTTTTCATTTAAGGGATATTTATACTTTATAACAGAAACTAGTTTTGGTAAAATAACATGTACTCATTATGAAGGAAAATCTAGGAAGTGTAGAGAAGTATGAAATAAATAACCATAATTCAGTGGGACTCACTGGATATTTTTTGTTTTTTATTTTAAGTCTGTGTTGATGATCCATGTTTAATTGTTGGACATTCTTGATCAAAAAGATAAAAAGTCATATATTCACCACCAATTTGGCCACCCTCATAAGTCATATTGTTTTTTTTTTTAATTTTTATTTTCTTCCAACTCTTTTAAACTAATGTAATTTTACTCCATTGTAATCACAAGGTAGAAACCATTTTGTCCTCATTGTGAGCATTTCCTGGGCCCGCAGGTGGCGCACTGGTTAAGGCGCTGGACTCCCACATGGCCAACTATGGTTTGAGTTCTTGACCCAGTGGCTTGAAACCCATGCCAGGCAAGTGTGCAAACTTGTCCAAGGTCCCGAGGAGAATGGAGGAGAAGGATTCCAGTGTGGCCATTGCCCCATTCTCTCTCTTTGTCTCTGGTGAGCACACATGCCCTCTAATAATTTTCAAATCCCTTCCTCCATTTAAAGTTTTTTCCCCCAGAGGTTTTTGCTATAGGCACATGCACTTGCGAGAGAGACAGAGGCAGGGATACAGAAAGCGAGAAATCACTCCCCCAAGAGGGATGGCCGTGACACAGTCCTTTCTCCTCCATTCTCCTCATGGGATTTTTGGGCCTGCATGCACACACACCAGCATAATTTTTAACCACTGGGTCTGGGACTTGAACCACAGTTGACTATGTGGGAGCCCAACAATGTAACCATTGCACCATCTGCTGGTCCCTAAAGGTTTTTTTACTTGTAAACTCCTGACTGACACGGGTTGTTTGCCAATATTCCCAATTATGAATAATATTATAAGGAGCACCTCCAACAGAATGTAGAGGAACTTTTTCAGTGTGTGAGTCAGTGATACTTAAAATACATCCAATATGTGGGCAGGTCTGCTACACTTTGGAAACATTGTTCGGTGAAAGAGGTCTTGTTAAAGAATTGAAAACTGTTACTCTAGGTTACAGGGATTCCAAATTATAAGAAGAAAAAAAACTGGGCTGGGACTAGAAATTTCCCAAAAGATTTTGAAATTGCTTAGATATACCTCTTCTAGGTCACTGCCACATTTAAAATACCAGAATCTTACATATATAAGAAAAGAAAGGAGGAAACTGCACGTGAAATGGTGGTTAAAGGCACTGGATTCCCACATTGGCTGACCACAGTTCAAGTCCTGGACCTGGTGGCTTGCTTTCTCCCTTTCCCTTTCTCTCTCTCTCTGTCTCTTTCTGGTCAAATTAAGAAAAATAATAACAAATGGAATTAAATAACTCTTTTAAAAGAAAAGAAAGGAATTTGTACTGGATTTGGGGGCTTCTTTGTAGGGAGTGGATGGGATAGGACAGAGACACTTTCATTGTTTACTCTGCACACTTGTATATTGCTGGAATCTTTTTTTTTTAGATTATCGGGGACCAGCAGTTAGTGTAATGGCTATGTAGCTGG